GGAAGGGAACGGGCTGGGCCCTAGCGACCGTTAGGAGCGGGCGGGGCCCTAGCGACCGTTAGGGACGCGAGGCTTCTGGGAAGGGAGCGGGCTGGGCCCTGCGGGCGTCCCCGCGTGATCTCGCGTGAAAAAAGGCTGCGTTCGGCCCTACCCTGTGAGGACTAACGTCCTTTCTCGTATTTTTCTGTCGCTGGTGTAGCTCTGAGGCTTATGTTAGGCAGAAGGGGAACCCCCTGTCTAACCTCTTGTGATGTTATTTATATCATGCTTTTATTCTTCTCCTTCCTATGGTGAACTCCCGGTTTTCTGTCCCCTGTCGTCCGTCCCCCTCCCATCGGTTTTCCCAGGGCTGCTGTTACTTTCCTTTCTCATCTCTGAATTTCTTACAATAGTTGGTCATTTTGTATTTGCTGACAGGAAACGCTTCCCATTAAGCTTGCCTATTCACTTGGCTGGCATAGAGCCTACAATGCACGCTTGTCCTTGCATCTATTTTTTACCAAGTTATGTAGTTCTAAAATAAGGTAAGAAGGAATAACACGTTGAAACTGGAATGCATTAATACCAATGACATGCAAAAAAAAGCCTTTAGTTTTCAGGTATGGTGTACAAATAGAAACCTAATTTTACCATACAGAAATAGGGAAAACTGCAAGCTACAAGGAAAAACATCTGAATATGGTACTTTGATGTGTATACTTTGTAAGGTAATTAACAGCACAGTATTAGGGACCACAAGTCATTTTGGCTTGCACTCCAGAGGCCTGTAGTATCTCCTTATAATAGGTACATTTTGAAACTGTGTGTGAAATTAGTAATGGAAATTTTGAAGGTCAACAGTAATAAAATCATTATAATTTAAGCATTTTTGGGGGTTTTTTGGCTATGATCTCGGATTTATTTCATATAATGTTTTCATGTTGATGGATTGTATTATTGCACGGTGGGGGGCACAGGGGGGATAGGACTTTTTATTGCATCCCAAGACCCCTTTCAAATTTCCAAAGGCTATATCTTTCCCCTCTACTTTTTTTTTTTTTTTTTTTTTTTTTTCAGCCCCTTTTAACCTTCCTCCCGAACCTTTTTGCCTTGATGATAATTATCTGTTCAGGCTTTTATTTTGTTTGTCTCCTTGACAGTCTGAGAAAAAAAGAAAAAAGCACATTGCATTTCAAGACTGCTTAGTTTCTTTATTAGCCTTCTGTCGGGAACTTCGCTGGAGGCAGTTCAGAGGTCTTAATAAATTATGTGAACTCATTGTCTTTTATGTTACAGAGACATTCCAAGACTCTTAAAAAGATAATGATTTTCCTTTGCAAAAGCTATGCTTGTTAGACTTTATCAGATCATGGCAATCCAGATTTTCTAGCGTTCTGTTTTTAATTACTGATGCAACAAATTTGCTAGGAAAGCTTAGTAGAAGTATTGCCACCTTTCAGTTCTCTAGAATACTTCCAGTGGTCAGTGAGACATTCTGATTTTTTTCTTAGCCACTCTGCTATGGCATACTTGAATTTAGGAGGTACTAGCTGAGTATTTCACTCCTTTTAAATTATTTGGGTTTTCAACATAATTTTCTCTGATGCTGCAGTTTTGTTCTGAAAATGAACAGAAAATTGAATTAGGAATTTGTGCATCATTAAGAAGGCAGAGATGTTTATTTCTTCTTGAGATCTTTTTGGTTTTTAGTGTCTCTTTTTAATCTCAAAGTATTTGGTGGGCTTAGTGATGCATTTAAGTATTTTTAAAGGCTTCCTGTATCTTGTACATCTAGGAAATTCCTGTTGATTGTTTTACCTCAAAAAAATTTTCCCTTTGAGTGCCATTTTGGCCCTTCTTGTTTTTCCTTCCTAATTGCAGTTGTCATTCATGTATGTCTTTATAGATTTAACTAGATTAAATTTCTGCATTTGTATGTATTTCTATCTGACCTAACAGTTTCTCAAACTTTAAATTAACTTGGGTTGATTTTTCTCTTGGCTGTTCTGGTGCCTTCTTTCCTCGGTTGCCTGCAAATCTTTCAGCTTCTTTTGTTTTTCCTAGTAAGCTACAGGACACTTAATTTGTTATTCAAAAAGATTCTGAGTTCAAGTTGTCATAAGGAGAAATAGATTAGGACATTTATTGGAAGACAGAGCAGAAGTAACTATGCTTAAGAACTTTGCAGATACATGGAAGAAAAGTGTGGCTTTCTAGATGTGAGATTCTCTTATTGTTTCTTTATTAAAGTTGTCAGAAAATAAAAAAACGCCATTGCAGATAATAGAAGCCATTTTGAAAATTAGGACTTTGATTCAATATTAAAAAACATTATTAGTGTCTTCAGATTTTACTATAGTAATATAGTTAGCTGATTTTAGTGAATGATTGGGTGCTATCTAGAAATATAGAGGAGTTAACTGAAAGCTTTGGATTCAGAGGGATTGCTCTGTTACATATTTGACCTGAAGTAGCAAGTATGATTCAGTAACCTGTTAATAATTATTGTAGTAACAATAATAATAATAATAATAATCTACATGATAACTGTTCTGTTTGCTTGTTAATAGGCTGATTATTTACCAGAAATCACCAGTGACTCAGTTCGTTCTGTAGATTTCACGGAAGAACTCTTGCATGAATGTGAGACTATTTGGAAGCAGATGGAAGAGGTATGCAAATCCCAAGTGATAGACTAGATTTGTTGTAAACTTTCTTCAGCATTTTTTTGTTCATCTGCCCATCCTTCACTGTATGCTTACCTCATCCTCTCCAAAGAAACCACCACAATAAAACAAGGAGGAAGAAAAAAAAGAGAAGAAGAAAAGATCTTCAGAAAGGCCAAAGGTAGAAATACTGGCAGGGGTCAAGAATGCCTTGCAGTGTTAAACTGTTTAAAGTGTGCTGATATTATGATTTAGTTAAATAGGATGGGAGTATATGTCAAAACTAGGGAAAATTAAATCCCAGCACACTGGGACTGAAGATCCTTCTCTCTCTAGCCTTATGCAAGATGGGATTCAACTCCTGTTCACAACTACTTTGCATCTTAAAGGAGAGAGAGAACAGGAGGAGAAGGAAGGAGGCTTAGAAGGACGATGATGTTGACGTACACTCATGCGGACTGAAAGTTACATCCTCAAGAATAAAATTTATCTTTCTCGTTATATGGTCCAATATGCTAATAATAACATTTTTAGAGTGAGTTATTTTTATTTACAGGAATCTCAGGAAGGATAAACTTCTAACAGTTCTGAGGGAATGCTATGCATCCTATAAGATTCTGCTGAGTCTAATGAAAACTCATGTTCTAAATTATATTTTGAGAGTCTTAATTGCTTCACTCAATTTTACGTGGTATTTATATGCTATTTGCTCGAGTTCTGATTTGTAGATTCAAAGCATTAAAAGTGTCAGAAACTACTTCCAAGCTTAAAGTAGAACAAAGTGTAGAGAACCCATGGTAATTTTACAGAATTCAAAAGAATAATGCGTTTTTATTTGTTGTTACACGTGAACTTATCTCAGTATTGAACAAGTGGCAGGGAATCCTGTGTCTAGGTTTCTGAAGTACTGTAATAAGCTATCAACAGAAGTTCTGTTTGGCACTACTTCAGAGGATGTGACCTTTCTTTGAAATTTTCAGATTAGAAGGGAAGTTAGAATGTTTATTATTTTGAATTTAATTGAAAATCATTGATACCTTGTATCTCTTTCCCAGCATCCCCAAAACGATATAGGAAGTGATAATGTGTGTTATTTTTGGAAGTTGATAAAAACAGTAGAATTTTTGTTTGTGGTTGTTGCATCCTGGATGTACGCATGTTTCAGCAAATAGTTTAAACAACGAATAGTCATTGAATTAGCTCCTAGGTTATAGGTTTATGATGTAATGTTCCAATGATTGTGTGTCAGCATTAGCAGTTTTTATTGGAGAAATCCTATATTGTGTTTTGGTTCCAAAACATTAACAGCAAGGTTTCCAAAGTACTGCTTAGTAGAATACATCTTGCCCTGTCATGGGGCAGGTTAAATTGCTGACAGTTATAAAACAAGAAAGAGTTTAGTAGGTGTCTCCTGCTGTTTTTTTTATCTGTGGTGGCCTGAATTTCAGACTTGATATACATCCCATTGCAGTCATGGGAGCTGATGTAGTGCACTTCTAAAAATCAGACCATTTCTGAAGTATACCGTATATTGCCCTAAATGAGTTAAAACTAAAAGTGTATATTATAATGTGATTGCTCTGTTTGGAGAGCCAGAATAGTAGCAGCACGTGGGTTACCTTCTTGGCAGCTTCCCTATTCAGCTTTGTCCATGACTCTCCTCAGTTTCTCATGTTCTTCATCTGTTCAGTGTCTTTCCCCGTATCAACTTTTCCCTCATAACTTGCCTTTTTCTTCAAATTATACATCTTTTGTTAGTTGCTGCTTTTCTACTTTTCAATTAGTTGAAGTTCCACTTTTTTACTGTGTTGTGATTTGAAAATATTTCTTAATTTGCTGTTCTGGGTCAGGCTCTGAGGGATGTGGTAGAAGCCAAGTCAAAGCTCTTTTATTCTTACATTAAACAACTTTTGTTGGAATTTCTAAGGATCATTTTTCTTTCTTACAAAAGGGAAGAGTAAGTAAACATTGTTTTGTTTGTTTTCTGCCAAGTGTCAGAGCAAGCTAATGCTTCTAGGAACAGAAGCACCGCTAAAATCAGATGCCAAGGTAAGACAGTATTTTTTTTTTTTATTGTCCACAAAATATTTAGTTTTCTGTAAAGATATGGTGTGCTTCCAAAAGAAGGAAACTAAATTATCTTCACTTACCCTCTAAAGCTGACAGCTTTACTCTTCTTAACTTTGCAGCTATATTCTGAAATATGTGTCTAGCAAATACTGAAAAGTTGCATTTACGTATATGTCACCTTTTAAGACTGGACCAGCGCTTCAAGTGGGTGGCAGATGCTCTCTGTTAACCCCATCCCTTCCCAGAGGGGAAGGAGAGGAGAAAAGGGAGAGAGACTGATGGGTTGGAACTTAAAACAAACTTTAATAAAACAGTAACAGTGAAAAATAGTATAAATAATACTACTAATAATATTAATAGAAATATACAAAACTGATACTGCTCTTTCCAATGATGACCGCGTGTTGCGCCGCAGCAGCTCGCAGTACTCACAGGACAGGGCGGGCACCCGAACCTCACAGAACTCAGCTGCACAGCAGGCGGAAACCGGATTGGGGGTGCACTGTCAGGGTCGGAGGCAGGAGAGCGAGCCGAGTCCCACCAGGATGTCGGCCATGAGGGAGAGAGAGGACTGACCCCTGTGATCCCTGAGCTTTATAACCCGAGTATTCCCGTGGGTGGGATGGAATACTGCATTGGTCAGTCCTGGGTCACCTGTGGCCTTTGCAGGTTCCTGGGGGTGCAACCCCTCCTCCGCCTTCCCCCAGGAGGAGCCCAGCAGAGCCCAAGAGAGCCCGCAGGGAACAAGCACCCACCCATGGGCCCTTCTGCGTAACAATCCCGCTCCTGCCCCAGCAACAACTACAGACATTAACTGCCATCAATTCTGAAAGCAGACACTGCCCAAAGCCTGTAGTCAGCTCCAGACGGGGCAGTTACTAAGAAAACTTAACCGAAGAAAAGAAAATAATCTACTGAAAGCAGAAATGGTTGTTTCAGCCAAACCAGGACAGTATAGCAAAAAGGTTACATGCAGTCCTGCCACACAGGACTAACTGATAAATGACTAACATAGGCAGGAAAACGGAGGGGTGTGTAACTTCAATACCGATTCAGACTATTTCCTAATCCGTATATATGTAATTTGTGAAATGGATCCCTTTAGTTTTACTCTAGAACTTTGTATTTACCAATTACAGTTGTTCCCCATTTGTGGATATCATTAGGAAACTGATGTGCTTGAATTAGAAGCAAACAGAGTGATGCTGAGTGCATGAACGTGAGCTCTTGTATCCCTCAAATTTTGGGGAGCATACAAAAAGACAATGCTGGCTCACTGTTTAGTTGTTTGTAAATAGGAACCTTTAAAATAGAATTTATATGAGGACCCCAAATTTGGAAAGTATAAATAGTTAAACATTGGGCTTGTTGGGTGAAATATGTAGTTCTTATATATCCCCATCTTATGTGACTTCAGTAAGAGTATTCAGATGGTTAATTCAGTACACTTGACTGAATAATTAACAAAGAGCTCTTTTCAGAGACGTATCTGTTGAATACATTGATATATTTAATTACTATGTAAGTACTAACAATCTCTTGCTAGTAATAAACTATGTTCTAAAATATTATTTAATCAGAATAAATAAATGAAGATGCATATTCAAATCCTTAAAATGCAATCTTTCTGTCCTTTTAGGAGTCTGGCTAAAATTCTACAAGTAGAAATAAATTTTGTATGCATTTCATTGGGTGTAGACTGAGGATTTTATGTTTCTTTGCAGCTTTACTGAAGCACATCATACCCGTGTAATTAATACTTAGACTTCCGAGATATGCTTTTCTTGAAAACTGTCATAGCAAGACAGTGATTAAATGGAGTTGCAAAAAAGAAGACTAAATTAAGACTGCACTTCATGACAGAAAATAGGGAGGAGAGGAAAAGGTCATGTTATATCCTCTGTCAGCAATTGCCATGTGATCTTATTGCAGGCCTAGCATAGGCACTTGTATTGACCCAAGAAACTACAGACCTGTTAGACGAACCTCAGTACCTGGAAAAATTGTGGAGAAGATCATACTGGGTGCTATTGAAAGACATTTAAAAAATAATGCAATCATCAGGCACTGTCAACATGGATGGGTTCACAAAGGGAAGGTCCTGTTTAGCTAATCTGATATCCTTCTATAACAAGCTCACCCACCTAGTGGATGAAGGAAAAGGTGGTGGATGTACTTCTTCCAGATTTTAGTAAGGCTTTTGATAATGTCTGTCACAGCATCCTTCTAGACAAGTTGTCCAGCTATGAGATGAGCAGGTACTTGGTGCACTGGGTGAACAACTGGCTGGATGGCAGGGCTCAAAGGGTTGTAGTGAATGGGGCTACATCTGGCTGTCGACCGGTCACCAGCTGTGTTCCTCAGGGCTCAATTCTAGGGCAGTTCTGTTCAATATTTTTATGATCTGGATGCAGGAGTTGAAGGCACCATTAGCAGGTTTACTAATGATACCAAACTGGAGGTGCTGTTGACTCTCTTGAGGGACAGGAGGCCTTGCAGAGGCATCTAGATAGATTGCAGCATTGGGAAATCATCAAAGGCATGACATTTAACAAGAACAAATGTCAGATTCTGCCGCTGGGATGGAGTAACAGCAGGCACAAGCATAAACTGGGAGAGGAGGGTCTGGAGAGAAAGGGATCTGCTCAGCAGCAGGCTCAATAGGAGTCCGCAGCATGCCCTGGCGGCGAGGAGGGAGCCTCTGGACTCGCTCTAACAGGTCCATGTCCTTCTTGTGTTGGGGGCCCCAGAGCTGAAGGCAGTACTGCAGGGGGGGTCTCACCACAGCAGAGTAGAGGGGGAGAATCCCCTCCCTTGACCTGCTGGTCACGCTGCTTTTGATGCAGCCCAGCTGGCTTTCTGGGCTGTGAGTGGACATTGCTGGATCTGATGTATGTATTTGTCACTTGAAAAGATGGTCCTTGATTTAACATTGCTGAATGATAGTGTTAATTTATTGTGAAATTTTTTCTCCAGTTTCTGGAATATCCAGAACATTTTGTACATCCTTTCTTTATATCAAGTTTAAAGGAATGAAGAATGAGCTGATGGTACTGTCAATAGTAGTGCTCCATTACAAAAGAGATGACACCACCTGATCTAGAAAATAAGAAATGTTTGTATGGTGATTATTTCTTTTGGTGGGTTTGTTTTGTTTTCCTTTATTTTAAAAGGTTGTCTTTTGAAGATGGACTTTACAAAGTCATTATAAGATCTTGGCTGATGATTGTTAGCATATTTTTCTCTTTAGTTGATGAAAAGCCAAATGCAATCTGCAGTGCTTTTTATGGAATGCTTGACCCTCTCAGCAGTACCTTTTGTATTTAAATGTATGCTTAATTTCTCACCAGATTACTTGTAATATGATATCTATATGTAACTTACAGTATATTTGAAGAAAAATTATAGATGTAGTCCTCAGTTTCAGGAAGTGGAATAGTAATAATGACTCTATTATTTCTCCAGAACATAGTAAGATATTAAAATAAGTACATTTTAAAAAATCTGTGGTTGTTAAATTTGTAGGTTATTTTAATGAACTTTTCGGAACTGGTGTTTTTTCCTATTGCTTCTATATTTTCAGTGATTACAGTGAGCTATAGCACTAGTTCTAAAGCATTTAGATGTGGTTTTGATAGAAGATTTATTTGGCTACTGGTTTTTTGGAAACCAATCTTTTGTTTAGTCATCACATATCAAGCACAGTTCATTTAACCTTAAATGTATATCAACCATGCATCTAAGGAGAAGCGGGTATGTGAAGTATTGTCGTTGCTTCTACTGGCTCATCTTCACTTGTGGTTGTTGATACTACAGAGGAAATTAGGGGGAAAATGCCAACTCTACTTCTGATTTCCTCCTTCTGAAAAAAAGAATAAAAATGTTTCTTGATCTCTGTGAGTGTCTTTTTAAATCTTTTGAAGGAAGAAGTTGTTGTAATAGATGCTCTTTTGTTTTCTACTGTATAAACTTAGTAATTGAATTTCTATCCCATTCTGTCTCATGTTACTCCAATGCAACTCAACACACTTCAAGAAATGCTTCTTTTCTTGTTATACAGCTTTCCTTGTTAATGATGAGAATGAAAACTTTAATAGCAGAATATAATCAATGGCAAAAAAGAAGTCCTGAAAGTAAGTAACTGCTTCCATGTAAGGTATACTCATATAAACGTCTGCAAAGTCTCTTTCATCTGTGCATCTTAAACTGTATATCAAATGTCTGTATTTTCTACAACTAATTAATATTAAATTAAATACTTTCCACAGTAGCATATATGTTTCATTTCTATATTTGTTTTGCGCTTCAGTTCTAAGTGAACTTAGAATTCGAAGTGAATTCTGCTATAACTTAATCTTTTGATTCTAGACAATGAATGCAGGATTCATATCACCAGTCATCAGTCAGTTAAATGGAAAAATAACTGTTAGCAGTTTTCCTAACAAAATAACAGAAGTTCATCTCTTTCAGGTTTCTCCTTTCTGTGATTGTTTCTTCTCCATCTTTCATTTGTGTTTTCTTTTTAGGTTGGAACTACTTTGGCAAATAACTTTGTCTCCATTTTGGCTTTAAGAAACTGATACAGTTTTTTATCTTTGCAAGTATTGCTAATAAACTAACAATAATTTACGAAGACATATTTTTAACCATAGCTCCTTTGATTTTTATTTTATTAATACTTCACAGAAGTGTGTTGTATTTGATGTACTAGGTAAAACTTTGAAGTAAACCTTTAGCGGTAAGCCCATTACACTGTAATAAAATACCTATCTTGGATTTAACAGGGGTCAGAGATTTCAGGTCAAGAAAAGATGGTAAAAGACACTTCAGTTTATTTTAACAACAGAGGAATCCGGGTCATGTAATGATCCTGAGAAGCACAAACCACTGAGACAAGTGGTAGCTGTTACATTTGTTAACTATTGTCAGTCCAAAGGTATAAATTCCTCAGTTCTTCAAAATTCTTTTTGTACATTGGCATCAGTGCTGACTGATTTAACTCTGTAGCAAGGCTGATGTGGCCAGACACTGAAAATAAAACCATTCAGAATCTAAGTGTGAGTAAAGTAATCTAGTTTTTTCAGATGTCCCATTTTGTCCCATTTGGAGACTCCTAAACCAGTTCACACTACACTATCATTAGTATTCTGGTAGCACTCACTGTTTATGTCTCCTGTCAAGGACCCATTAGCACCTTTCAACCCAGTAAAACTTATTAGTTAATACTTAAATGCATATATTGACTCATTTGAATATTTTTATGCCAGAAGAGGCTTGTTTTTTTTAGTGTTTACAAAATGATAGGAATGTGTTTTAGACAGCAAATGGTGACTTCCAGTATTTTGTCATTTGGCCAAATTTGGAATGCATTTTCAGATGAACATCAAAGTCACTGAGCTACCTTCTTTCAAAGTTCATGTGCTTGTTGCATATCATGATCAAATAATAGGAGCTGGAAAAAATAAATACTTCTTTTTTCTTATAAATAAATACTGTTGCTCTGTTAAACATTCATAGTTCATGTGCTTTGTAAGCCTGTTTCTAAGAATGGTCAGCCTCAAATGCTTCTTTGAGGTATGTAGACCAAAAGTATGACATTGAATGAATCTGGGAAATACTGGTTCTTGGCTGCCACTCATGAATAAACTGCTGGCTTAAAGCAAATGAAAGCACTTACAGTTTTTATCTGGGTAAAATACCTGGAGATGTTTGGTTTCCTTACTAAAATATGTAATTATTTTAAACTTTAAGCTATTTGCTTAAAAATACTCTTGGGGCTTGACTTATTTTTATTGGCTTGCTGACTTGCTTTGCTCAACCATTCTTACTTGTTCCCAGGTGATAAGATTTCTTATTAGAAATCTTAATTTTGTACTGGATAAATGTTCTATGCATATTATAATGCAAATAATATTTTGCAGCCAAAGCTTTGCCTTTTTGGCTACCTTTCTGAGGGAAGAAAAAAAGAAGTTACTGCTAAGAATTTGAATAGAGTTATAGTGCTTGTATGAAAATGAGGAGTCTGCTGTGCTTACATCTTCTCTGTCCATCTTGGCTCCTTTATACCTACTGTTTGTTTTGAAAGAGGAATTACTTAATTGAAAACATTGCATGAAATTAGTATTTCTGCTATTCCTATTTAGGTAAATTCAGACAATAAGGCATGAATGTTAGCCTGTCTTGTTACTTTGGTTTCTGATTTTAGTAATGGCCAGTTCATTTCTTGTAAATGAAGGCCTGTCAGGATTTCAATTCTAAACCTTATTTTCAGAGGTTATAACTTGGCACTTCTACATTTCTTTGGGCACGATACTGGCAAACAGACTTGAATCCACAACAGAAATTTTATTTTTGCAAAGTTTTTACTTTAGTCTCTTGTTCTTTCTCAGTTTCTGGTACTATTTATGTAGCTCTAGGGCTGCTAAATCAGCTGTATTAAAACTTTAACAAGCATTTGGCTCATAAAAATAGAATTTAACTTTTACCTTTGCAAAATAAGGAAGTGGAAGCAACTGTATTTTAAACCATATAAAACAGTTGTGGTCTCTGCATAATTTCTATTTTTCTTTGCAAAATATCAGTATTCTGCCAAATTCCTCTTATTTTAATAGGGGTTTCTGTATAAACATGTGCATAGTAGTTGCTTTTACCTTCCTAGCATCTGGTAGTATTTTGCTTAGTTATTGTACTATGTATCACTAGGCAATTCTGTTTGACATTTTATTTTTGCAAGTGTAGTGAATCGTAACTGGAAAAAGCTTTAACTGATAGTAGATAGAGCAACCTGTGTTCTTTACAGTAGCAGCTGCCATAAATGTGTTGTCCCGGTGCCTTAGATCTGCACTGTTCCTTCACGAAATTAGGGTTAGTGATTTCTTTCTGAGGAAGATGTGGCCTTCTATTCTGATACTCACACAATATGAATATTGAATGGGAAGCACATAGTCAGGATTAGGTATCTAAAAATTAAGAACTGTCAGAAACCAATAGTAGAAATGGATAATTCCAGGTAGTGAAGGCTCACATTAATCATGGGGGGGGTGGGGGGGTGGCGTGGGGAAGAGTTGTATGAGTTTCTTCAAATAGGCCAGTGAATGTGACTAAAAACACACCAATTAATTTTATCATGTGTATGTAGGATATTCATGTCATTAAAGAAATCTTGCTCTAATAATAGCGCAGACCACTACCTCCCACAGCTCTTAAACATAAGCTTAATTTGGGAACACTCTGCTCAAATTTTCTGTCAAGATTTAGAGACAGTAATTCTCTAAGTAAAAGAGATTTTATGGTGACATGTAATTTATTGCATTCTGAAATCAGTAGTTTTGATGATTTTCATCTCAGCAAACACTGCTTTTAAAACTACTAATCGAAGGCTTCTCAAAATTTGTGGAGGTAAAAACTATAAAATTACCAAAAAAAGGACTTCAATAATTTTATTAAATCAACTATATCGTATTGAGGAGATATTTAATGCTTTTATGACAGAGTTAAGGATCTTCCTTTTTGTTAAAGGAAAAGCTTTTATTAAAGTAATTATTTTTAAGATTAGGGATTTGGAGCTGAAGCTTGGACAAAAAATATTCCTGGCATATTAAGATTTAAATCTGTTACAGTAGCTGTCATTTCTCCTGTTAATAGATTCAATTCTTCACTTTTGAAAAAGTCATACGTTTATGCAGATGCTGCAAATTGACATGGAACTGAGAAATTGATTGGGGTCCATTGAAGGCTATCAAATACAACAATTCACTTTTTATTCATAAAATCCATGAGCCATAGATCACTTTGCTTTGCAGAAGCATTCTGGGAAAACATTAACCACATCCTTGAATAGTACTGTACTTTCTGTTAAGTACTGCTGTTGCTTAAGGCTGGAGTTAGGATATTGGCCTTGCTGGGCCCTTTATCTCCCTACATGTGCCTGTTCTTGTGAACGGTAAGGATGGTGATGTGCTCTTTAAGTTTTTTAAATCTGATAGGTTTTGCAATCCTGATCCAGCATTTGGGAGGCTGTTTAACAAGGAATTGGAAGACTGGAAGAATTTGATTGCCCACATTGGTAATGTTGATGGAATCCCTTCCACTGAAAAAATCAGGCTTGCTTATCTTGAAGTATGACTGCACTTCACGTTTCAATATTATGTACCTGTACCTGTATACCTGAGCCAGTTCAGGTATAAAAAATAATGCAGAAGCATTAACATCACACTTTTTTCAGTCTCATTTAACTTGCTGAAAAGTGAGAGTAGGTTAGCCCAGCAGGACACTACATAATGTGGTTAAACTGTAGCTGACAACCAAGCTAGTTTTTTAGAGGCTACACAAGTTTCTCTCTAGCCAGGCTGCTTTTCAGTATAAACAAGTCTGTATCATCCAATGCAAAAAAAAGTATTCATTTTATTTTTCAGTAATTTCTACCAATCCAGATGTACTGTTAGCATTAGGAAAAGAAGAGGTAAGTCTTTTTGTTTGTTAAGAGATAATAAAATTTTGTTGGGGAAAAAAAAGATATATACAATTGGTGCCTTTTCCTATGACTACTTCTGTGGTGGACTACTCATAATATACTCTGTAGGTTTCTTCAGGCATTGTTGTTGTTCTAATGTTTTTCTTCTCCTGTATTGTAACTACTAAAATTTCCTAGTTGTTATGAATGATCTTTTAAACAAAAAGTTTTTCTATATAGCATTTTGTACTTGATATAAAATAATGTGACTTTATATGTTACACAGAAGAGTCAGCATTCTTAGATCTAGAGTTCTGTGGCAATAATTTGCAAATAATTTGTTGAGTTCTTCCAGTCTTAGAAGAAAGAGCAAATCAAGAATGTCTTAGTGGTAGCATTGCACTGTATTGATTAGACATTGGTATGCAACATGACCTGAGAATATTCCTGTGGCTACAGCTTAAAGAAAAAAAAATTTTTTGTTTTCTTCTTCCTAGCAGCTTTCTTCCCTCTAGTATCACTCACAACAGGGAACCCAGCTGCTGTTAGGAGTCACTATTAACAAGTTGTTTGGTTACACAGTTTCATTTGTCACTCTATAGCCGTATTTCTTAAGAAATTACAGGTTATTTTGGCCCTCTTTACCAGATTTACAGATGTAGCTTTACATAGAGCAAATACTACAGGCTGGGTTATCTGGAAACTGTAGGTTTATTTTTACTTTTTTATAGTTGCAGAAAGTAGAGGATGATCTTGAAATGGTCCTGTTAACAGTTCAATCAAAGAATAAACAAGTGGAAGAAGATCTGAAAAGGTAACACAGGAATTACTGTCAGCTTTTTTACTGTACATTATTTTTTTTGACTGTCCAGGAAAACTGTTTATCTGTTGTGCCCTTTCCTACTTTTCATGTTTCAAAGAGAACAGCAGTGGCATGAGGAACAGGAGCAGGTACTAGATACTCTTAATGGAATTGAAGAACAGACAAAAACCCAAGTTGGAAAACTTTCCCAAAAAAGGTATTTCTACAGTGTTGAGTCTTTATATTGAAGAATTTAAATATCAACAAGGGCAAATGGGCAAACAAACTCTTAAAACATACTCCTTGTTTTGTTAAACAGATCAAATAGTAAGTCAGTAATCCATATTTGAAACATGGAAAATATTGCTACTATCTGCTTATATCCTGTAATTCAAGATGTTGAACTTACAACAATAGAAAACAAGTTTGGGTCTTTTACTTATTAACTTTTTGATTATTTTATTGAATTTCATATTCCATTGCTATGTTTTTACTATTAGTTTGAAGAATAAAGCATTGCATGAACTGGAAGATGAACTCTTGAAACTGAAGAATTATAAGGAAGAACTCTTGAATGCTCTGGCTGAATTCCTAGAAAAACATTTTCCTTTTCCAGGTAGAAGTGCTAAAAAGAAGGTAAGATTTTCTTAATAACTATTAAATTTAGAATGTTCAATTTCTATTTAATTATGTGAGGTATCTTTTTAAAGTCACTAGTGTAGTATCTGCAGTTATATTTTGAAATAAGTATAGTTCTTACAACTGATCCTTTAGGTTTAATTGATATTTTTCAGGTCGGTTTATATTGTTTAAGGCTGTTCCCAGCTGGATATTTTCTTTTTTAATGCATATATCCTTTACCCAATGAGATGCATAGCAATGTATTGTATTTCTTACTGGACTGCAAGCTGTGCCAAATTTGGAAATGGTGAGGGGTTCACTCCAAATTGTTCCATTTTCTTTTTTACTGGACTAGGCAAGTGGATTCATATTTTCTTTGGCAAAGCAAATTTTAATTGTCTAACAATGTTTTTGGAACAATAAGAAGGACAAATGTTTATAATTACAGTGTAGTTTGGAATGTTAACATCAGTTTCTGTTCAGGCAAACTGGGCCAAAAATTATCTTAAAACTTTAGGAAAATAGGCAGTCATGGAGTATTTTGCATAATAAATTCAAAGACTGCAGTAAAAATAGACTTTTTACCATTACTATTTGAAAGAATAGTTACAAAAAAGCTACAAAAAAGGCAGGGGTTGATTTTGATTTCAGACTCATTTAAGAATATAGAAATAGAAAGGACTTCTTTAATCCAGTTCCCTGTTCTTTCAGACAACCACATAATGTAATTTCTTTAATATTATCATTAAGCTCCATTTTAAAACTAATTATTTTTGTTATTACTGTTTCTATTGGGGTTTGTTCTAGTACCCCAGTACTCTGGTTAGGAACTCTCCAAACTTCCATGTCTAACACAGATCCATATATTCTTATGCCAGTATTGTCCTTAGAATAGCCTATTTCTTTCTTATGTTTATTCCTCCTGATATATTTAAAGACAGCAGTCTTATACCCTGTCTGTCTTTGTTTTGCTAATTGAACTAGCAAAGCTTTCTTATTCTTTTCCTGTGAGATAATATTTTTCAGTTCCCTGGCTTATCCTAATAATACCCATTTTCTGTATTTGCTTCCACTTGTATTCATCTTTTTTGGAACCTGGTAAAAACCAATATTATAAACAAAACTGCTACCTCACAGTCATCACAAAAGCAACTAATGACCCCCTTGTCTTTTTCTTCCTGTTATTTCCAACTGATGAACCCTGAGATTTTCATTAAAAAAAAAATACCTTGTTTTTGCACAGAAGTACGTATTTGGCACGTACAAATACCAAGTGGACCCTGCAAGGCATGATAGCCATTTTCAAAGTCTTATTCAACCATCTTCAAACATCTTATTCTATTATATCTTAGTTCTTCTGCATATCAATGCCTTCCAGTTTCCTGCTATTACTAAATATGATACATATTGCTCCAACATTAAGAATTTAAAGCTTCAGGGATTTAATTAACAGTCATCTTTCAATCATACATTTCCTGATTTCAGCCTGATACGTCATCTCCCTATTTGCTAGTTTTTATTCATCTTAAAATTGTTCCAGGACATGCCTCTTCAAACACTAATGACTTTCCCAGATGCATTTTAAGCAATTATCCATTTTCCCCATATATATCATTATTATTTCCTTAAAGATATATTTCCTATAATGAGATGCACCAATTTATTTGCTCCCATTTATGTGATATCATAGAAAAATATAGGCTGGAAGTGATCTCTGGAGATCTTCCATTCTAACACCATCATCAAGGTAGTGTCAATGTCAAAGTTGGATTGACTTGCTCATGTCATATCCAGCTGTGTTTCAAATATAAGAAACAGTGAATTTTTAAGTGTGTTTCAGAATTCTGAGGAAGATTTTATGTAAAATCTCCTGCCCCAGAGCAAAATCAACTAGTTGAATTTTCTCAGCCTCTGTTATACTGACTGTTGGAAATCCTTATTAGCTACCCTGCCTTCATGTCTCTTCCTTGTAGTTTTCATTATTAGAATCTAAAGAAAAAAATAATCACTCAAGGTGTTTGGGATTAATCAACTCTTCGCCTGCTCACAGAGGCTCACATTCTACCCTTTTTTTTTTTTTTTACTTAAATGTAAAATTTATTTTGATAAATTTCCAAGCAAGGTCCTATCTTGGTTTAGTTTTAATTTTATTAATGCATTTTCTGAACTCTTAAACACAATTTGTTTTCTGATAAGTCTTTTTCTTTTCATTCCTTGTGCATTCATAGCATCTTCTACATCTTTTCACTCAGTTGGATCTCAGTGGCTCAACTGCAGGTTCCCCATAATCTACATCTAAGTGATTAACTGTGAAGGCAGTAGAGACAGCCATTTTTTCCTAAATTGTTCTCTTTGTTGTGTCAGAAATACAAATGGTCAGTCTTAGCAATGAAGTTTGCTGCTACATTGATTCTGGGGAACATGTTATTCACGTCTATTATCAGCTTGGTTCAACACTCTGGAAGCACTGAACTCTTAACTCTGTACCTCAGTAATTTTGCTTCACTTCATGGAAGCTTCTTCTGTTCTCAGTAGTTTTGTGTGAGTGCAAATGTGTGGGGCTAATGTCTGTAACTCAGGGCTCCAGAGTAGTGTGAACTGCTCCAAGCCTCGCTGTTCTGGTTCCACCCTCCTCTCACCAGGCACCTAGTCTAGGATTGGGAGCTGGAGGGAAGACTGAATCACCAGAGCTCAGATTAGCTTCTGTTGCCATGGCCCAACACCTTTAGTATAGCTAGTGATTGAAGTAAGAATTATCTTGCATTTTAAATCTTGGATAAAAAAGGATGCATTTTTTTCAAGATAAGAAATATGAAAAGTCGTATGTTGAGGAATATTCTTTATGCCAGTGTATCTCATGGAAGGGAGAAAAACGTGCCTTTCAGGTTAAATAACTAAATTCTGAGCATCCTGCTTAAAAGTGATTTTATAAGCATTAATTAATTAGAGTTACTTATTATATTGGTGACATTTAAAATACATAAGTAATATAATTTTATAAAGCAATATATATGATGTATATTATAAACCTAGCAAAATAAGTTTGCTAGTTCTGTGAAAGTGCAAACCTCTTTACACTAATATCCTTAGAGTTTGATTCTTTGTATATCAGTTTTAGTAATTACTGAAGCCATAACCTAATTCCAACTTTGAAACATGAATATTGAACCCACTATCTAAGTTACAAAGTAGTATTTTTGGCCAGGGAAATAAAACAGCTGAGGCTACAAACTATCTTCATGATTGCTCTAAGGAACCTTTTGCAGCTTCTTAGTGTAGATTTCTTTCCTCAGCCTAGTATCAAGATAAAGGCACAAAGATAGGCATTGTTGAGTCCTAGCTCCATGGTTTGCAAGGTTTCCATGGAGCAGGCAGTATGTCCTCCTTGTGGCTTTCTGAAGGTGAAAATATTAAGAATTGTGACTGGAAAAAAGGAGCCAAAACTTGCCTTTCACGAATTCTTCTTTATTGCTTGTATTCTTCTTCTGTTCCAGAAGTGGAATTTGTATAAGGTGCTGCACAGATGTTAGTATCTTGGGACTTAAGTTGACATATTCAACAGCAGTGCTGAGTAAGCAGCCACCAGTGCTGTATTATCTCTTTTATTTTGTTGAATGTGAAGTGGATGGGAAAAAGTATAGAATCAGGTTCACCGTACAACAACACAAGCAGTTCAATTGTCATTGCTGCCTAAGGAATCCATATCAGTTTATAGGCAAATGGCTTGATTTGCTTGCTACAAATGAAAACAAGTAATTTTCTAGTGACATTTCATCAAGAACTTTTTTTCCCAAATTTTTAATGATTCTATTTCTTAAGCTTGCCCAATTTTTTTTAATTGAAGTCAGAGTAAGAGTAAACAAATATTCATTGGCAAATCCTGAAAAAATATTAAGGCACTATGAACTGAAACCTTGAGCTGTGTCAAATTTGCATTGTAAATATTTTTCTAAAGTTCATGAAAAACATTTTTTCCTAACACATCATATTCATAGAATGTTTTGCACTCTACTACATTATAAATAATATGTACTTGCTTTTATTTAAATGTAAACCCAGGTAGATACACTGTGATCATTTAAGATTAATCCTTTTTAATAATTAATTCCAAAATGTTGCATTTAAAGCATATGATATTGAACTGGTAGATTTAAATACTACCTTGTATTTCTGTCATGACTAAATCTAAGTAAAAGTCTTCATCTGTTCTGTACTACGCAATCAAATATTTGTGTGATTATTTTTCTTTGTCAATTACCATTTTTCATGACTATTTAGTTTTGAGTTTTGTTAATTTGGCAGGAGGGGTGGTTATCTTTGCAGAATTCTTCTGAAGAGCCAGCTGTAGAACTGATATCACTGCAGGATATTATAGAGGTAAGATAGTTTTGTTATGTAGAGATTTGGAGGATTTTCCAATACTCAGATCTGATCATAATATATTAATAAGATAAATCACAATATATAACATATGGTTAAGATAGTTAATTGAAAAGTAGAATGTTTAAGAATGTTATGTCAGATTTCTATTTTAATTCCTATCAAATTAAAACCCCAATTTTTTACAAGAGATGTAGCAATAAATTGGATAACTAAATCTTCAGTTTAAGCTGGAGAATTATTCTCTCTTATTTCTTAATTTTGTAAGGATTATTTTAAATAAGTTTTATGAGCATTAGTGGCTCATATTAGGAGAGATGAATGCTGTGCTTAACAAAAAAATGAATTGTGCCATTACATGCTGTAGTTTGTACTTTGTATTTTGTTTCAACAAAAGTATTTCTGAAATATAATAACAGTTATAGAAGGACGAACTTACGTTTAGACTTGTTGATTAACTGGATTATCTTCTTGTATAAAGAAATCAATGAATCTGATTCATGCCTTTCTAATCAATTTTATAAGTATGCCAGCATTGCTTAGTGTATATTTTTAATCACAGTACAATTTATGAATTTGAATTGCAAAGCAATTTTCAAGGAGCATTAAAAATCTTCTCACTAGCATTGTTCCTTCTTGTCTTAAATGTAGCATTTGAAGTGAAATTTCCTATTCCTTCTCCATCCTTGCTCTTCAGACGGTTGTAGAGCATCTATGTGTAAGACCTCCCCAGGGGAAAAAGTTTTTCCTGGGGGAAAACTTGATGAATAACAACTTTCTGCTATTAAGATGCTATGATCTGGTCACTGTGACATTGTTGTACTTTAGTTTAAAGCCGAGACTGTGGGCTGACATCATCAAAATAATTTCACATGCTTCAAGTATCTCAGCATGCCTGTTAATGCCAAATGAGGCAGAACTTGAAAGCAGATCAGAAATTAAAATAGTCACATTCCCTATGGAATTAAAATTTAAAAGCTCTTCTAATACTTTAGAATTGCCCTTCGTATTTTTGTGATCTTGTAGTCTCCTCAAAATGTGAACATATCCAAGTAATGTCTGATTTCCACGTGGAAGAACATACTAATTTGAAAAATTTAGACTTATTTTTAATTTTAACTATCTTGGCATAAACTGTCAATGTCCCTTATCTTTGTTTTATGGGAGGTTTTTTTGTTGAGCAACTTTGTTCTAGCTTCAAGTCCCTGTTAAATTTCAAAAGTGTTTTCTTAGATACAGATAATAGTTTCTTAAAGACACAAATGCAAAGTCATCTTTGTGTTAGAATTACATATTTAGGATTTGCTGTTTTTACAACCATAATTCATTCACAGAATTACAAGTGCATGTGTTCCTAACCATGCCTCCTCAATCTCCATGTGTTTGTTAAATAATGAAAGTGCACTTTTTCAATAAAACCACTTTGACAAGTTAGGTGTGTACATTTATATTATTTAGGTATATCAGTACCTACTTCATTAAATTAGTGTAAGTAGTAAGCAAGCATTAAACTCTTCTCTCATGCAAACCTCAGAATTTTTATTATACTACTTTTTATTCCAGTAATGAGCTGTAATTTTTTACAAATGTAGTAATAATTTTCCTTTCAAACAGTTTGAGGATTATTCCTTTCTGATTGAGAATTTAGTGAACTAGTTTAAGATTTGAAAGGCTATTAACCATACAAATGTGTGTAAAGTTACAGCCACAAAGGCTATTTTGTAGTATCAGATGTCAGAAAAGACTAACAAGTCATCTAAAATAACGCATTTGGAGTCAATACTCAGAATTGGGGCATCTAAGTACAAAAGACATAAACTGGAACAATTCTTCAGAATGTTCTGAAAAAAAAGAGCAGGTTTGGTTTTTTTTTAAATAGCAATGCGTGAAAACAGAGTAAAGTCTGGTAGTGAGGATTTTGAGTTTTTCTTTAGGAAGAGAGGCAGACAGAATATTTTGTACCTACTGAAAGTGGGAAAGCTATAACATTTACAATAGAGAGAGCACCATGGTATGGGTAAAATTATTTAATCTGTAATGTATGCAGTATTCCCCATGAGCAATATTGAGGGCACAAACATGGTCTCCAAAAACAGGAAAAGAATGTCAAAACTGATCTTTGTTTTTAACTCCATTAATTAATTCTATATTTAGATAAGGAACAAAGGAGGGGTAAGGAAGTATTAAGAGGAGATAAATTGTTATAAGGTGCTTGTCATGCCCAAACAAGAAGTGATATTAAGAATTTGGATAATCCATTTATGAGATGAGCAAAAAGATCTGATGTGCAAACATAGTGGAAAATACAGGAGAAAGAACTCTTCCCAATCTAAGAAGACAGATGGCTTATTAGTGAGATGACATTTAGAAAAATTGTAAGATGGACATTCTTCTCTGCTAAAGTCTGAAAGAGTGAAGGAGAAATACTATTTGTTGACAGTAAGCATTATGCTTTTGAGGCAAGTGATTCCCAAAAATCTAGCTTTCCCTGTTATTTAATGCTTTTAATCTTAAATTAACAGATACTGATTTAAAGATTAATTATATAAGGATTTGCCACCTTCATGTTCAAATTTTTTAGGCATTTGCAATTACACTATCTAAAAATCACTAAAAATTTTTGACAAATGGTGAAAAACAGTCTGTATAAAAGGACAATTTTGGTTCTAATTTTTACATAGAAAAAGATGTAAAGAAGTTAATTGGAAGTTCTTCATTTTACTTCTACATTGAACAGGCTTTGTATTTTCTATATTGCCTACGTAAGTGTCTCATTACAATAATTTGTATAAATAAGGTTAAAGGAGATAAAAATCTAGCTGTTTTGTTCATTTCCTAAATCTTATCCTTTTGGTCTTCCAGATTCTTGTAAACAAATCAGTAAATACACCATACGAACCCTATGTAACAATCAATGACTCATTTTGGCCACCTTACATTGAGCTGCTGCTGCGATATGGAATTGCCTTGAGACATCCAGAAGATCCAAAGAGAATGCGCCTAGAAGCCTTTCACATGTAGTGTGACCTGTATGTTTACTTTAAAACAAAACAAAGCACCAGTCCTCTTAGGTGGGGGCTAAGACATACTTATGGTTTATGATAAGTATTTTTCATATCAACAACCTCTTATTGTTGTATGACGTTCTTTTTTTTTTTTTTTTAAAGTACATAGAGTAGGAAATATGAAAAAAGACAAAAATGTCTACTTTTTACTGCTCACAGTTACACTTGGCTTTTAGTTTTATCGCAAGTGATGCCAAGATTTGCGTTGTGGAGAGGTTTTTCAGCTGCTTTAATAAGATGCAAATTCAGGTAATAGATCAAGTAAAGATTTTTAATGGTCCTTTTAACTTTAAAAGTCATACTTTTCTTTTTTATCTTCATTTCTTAGATTGCTTTAACTCTTCCCAATTTCCTTTAGTATTTTGTTGTACTCTGTAAAGGTGAAATTTTAAATAATTCGGCTCCCTCCATATGTGGCCTTGCAAACATTTGGAACTAACAGTGAAGTATCATCTCAAGAATGGGGGGGGCATTTGTTGCTTATTTGTTTGTTTGGGTTTTTTCCCAGAGTTTTTGCAAACAAATGTATTGGCTTTAAGAAAAACACATAGAAAAGCTGACACATCTTTCTCTGCAAAGGGCTGCAGATGTTGAGTGTGCAACTCCACAACTGCATGCTTCCTGAACAGCCTGTACTGTGTTACGCTACATTGCCTAACAGTATCTGTCTTCACTTTTTCAGATCTGGTTTATCAAGGCTTATTATAGATTTCTATTCTGCTGCTTTCCACAGTTTCTAAGTTATGTCAGTCGACAGTTACCTTCTGAATAAATGCTGGCATTCTGTGTCATTTTAATCTGCTTTTCTATGGCCCTCGTTATTGTAGTCCATGGGTGCCCAAAATTCTACTCTTGCATATCTATAGTGATTATAACCTTAGGAAATAAAATATGCCTTTTATTAACTAGATTTCCGTTTATTGAGGTAGGAACTTTAATGATTTTTCAGTTCATAGAAAAATAAAGGGTTATATAGAATCATAGAATGGTTTGGGTTGGAAGGGACCTTAGAGATCATCTTGTTCCAACTCCCCTGCCATGGGCAGGGATACCTTCCACTACATGAGGTTGCTCCAAGCCCCATCCAACCTGGCCTTGAACACTTCCAAGGAGGGGGCAGCCACAGCTTCTCTGGGCAACCTCTTCCAGTGCCTCACCACCCTCACAGGGAAGAATTTCTTCCTAATCTCTAATGTAAATCTTCCCTCTTCCAGTTTAAAACAGTTATCCCTCATCCTGTCACTATACTCCCTGCTAAGCAGTCCCTCCCTATCTTTCCCGTAGGCCCTCATTAAGTAATGGAAGGCTGCTCTCGGGTCTCTCTGGAGCCTTCTCCTGTCTAGGCTGAACAACACCAACTCTTTCAGCTTGTCCTTATACAGGAGGTGCTGCACCCCCCAATCATCCTCATGGACCTGCTTGAGCAGGTCTATGTCTTATGCTGGGGGCCTGTTGAGGAGGCACACCAAAATTAAACCATGTGGACAGGAAAATCAAAGGGAGTTTTGTTTTTCTCACTGAAGTTATTTAGCTGTAGATAAACCAAGAATAAAATGTGTTCTTAATCAAAATCACTTTACGCTCCAACAAACATTTAGTAAACCACAGGTTCAGGACACCGAGTGGAATTTCATTGCTCCATGATTGACTCAAGGAATTCCCAAACTTAAGAATCATGATTCAAAATGTGCAGTCACTCATCTATAAGATGAGGGCTATCAACCCTGAGGAGTTTCCTTAGGTGGCATCCCAACCTAAGGGGAGAGTGCCCAGCTGCAGATCCACTGCACCGACTCAACGTGGCCACCCAGCGGGTGGTTTATGTAGGTTTATACCCTAGGTTGAATCTGATCTGTGGTCATAGATGGTCAGTGGTCTAGAAACTGCTCTGGACCAGGGCATTTCATTGGTTAAAGGCCCTGTCTGCTGGCTGAGGTGTGTATGTGACCATAGTCACTGAACCAGGTGATTATGTGATGGTGGGCACCTGACTGAGGTGTGTACGTGACACACTATGCGTGGTCCACTGGTCAAGAAGTTTCTGGTCTTGTCGAAGGAGGGAGGAGGGGGAAGGGCCCTGCCACAGGGCCACAGAGCTGAAGGCAGTACTGCAGGGGGGTCTCACCAGAGCGAGCAGACGGGCAGAATTCTCTCCTTCGACCTGCTGGTCACCCTGCTTTTGATGCAGCCCAGGATACAGTTGGCTTTCTGGGCTGCCAGCGCACATTGCTGGGTCCTGAGCTTCTTGTCAACCAACACCCCTAAGTCCTTCGTTTGGGAGTGCTTCAACCCAGGTGCAGGACCTTGCAATTTCATGAGGTTTGCACCTTCATGAGGTTCAAGCCTGTCAAGGTCCCTCTGGATGGCATCTCGTCCCTCAAGTGTGTCAACTGCACCACTCAGCTTGGTGTTGTTGGCAAACTTGCTGAGGGTGCACTCAATCCCACTGTCCCTGTTCCCAACAAAGATGTTAAATAGTGCCAGTCCCAACACCAACCCCTGAGGAACACCACTCGTCGCTGGTCTCCATTTGAACATCAAGATGTTGACCACAATTCTTGGAGTGTGACCATCCAGCCAATTCCTTATCCACCAAGTGGTCCATCGTCAAATCCCTGTCTCTCTGATTTAGACACAAGGATGTTGAGTGGGACAGCGTCAAATGCTTTGTGCAAGTCCAGGTAGATGACATCAGTTGCTCTCCCCTTGTCCACTGATGCTGTAACTCCATCATAGAAGGCCACCAAGTTTGTGAGGCATGATTTGCCCTTAGTGAAGCCATGCTGCCTGTCATCAATCACCTCTTTTGTCCATGTGCCTCAGCATAGTTTCCAGGAGGATCTATTCCATGATGTTGCTGGGCACAGAGGTGAGACTGACTGGCCTGTAGTTCCCCAGGTCTTCCTTTTTTCCCTTTTTCAAAATGAGGTTTATATTTCCCCTTTTCCAGTAAGCGGGAACTTCATCAGTCTGCCACAACTTCTCAAATATGATGAAAGTGGCTTAGCCACTTCATTTGCCCGTTCCCTCAGGACCTGTGGATGCATCTGTGGTGGGTTGACCCTGGCTGGATGCTAGGTGCCCACCAAAGCCATTCCACTTCCTCAGCTGGACAGAGGAGAGAAAATATAATGAAAGGATCATGGGTTGAGATAAGGAGAGGGAGAGATCACTCACAAGTTACCATCATAGACAAAACAGACTTAACCTGGGAAATTAATTTAATTTATTACCAATCAAATCAGATTGGGTAATGAGAAATAAAACCAAATCTTAAGACACCTTGCACCCACTCCTCCCTTCTTCCAGGGCTCAACTGCACTCCCAATTTTCTCTACCTCCTCCCCACCCAGCAGCTCGAGGGGGATGGGGAATTGGGATTGTGGTCGGTTCATCATATTTTTTCTCTGCCGCTCCTTTCTCCTCACACTCTTCCCCTGCTGCAGCTTGGGGTCCCTCCCATGGGACTTCAGTTCTTCACAAACAGCTCCAGCGTGGG